GTGAGTGTGTGTGTGTGTATGTGCGTGTGAGAGTGTGTGTGTGTGTGAGAATGTGTGTGTGTGTGTGAGAGTGAGAGAGTGTGTGTGTGTGTGTGTGTGCGCCACAGTGCAAAATATGGAGCAGCTAGTAGCACTTTCCGGTTTGCGAGACTTGGGCTTTGATTTTTTTCATGATTTGCCCTGCTCCCAAAGCAATTAAAGCAAACATTGTGAACTTTTAAATCTGGGACATTGCTTCACACCAAAATAAAAATGCAGACTTGTAGTTGTCATAATGAAGGATGTGAGAGTTCTCCATTCTGCTAGCAACAATGACAAGAAGACAGAGTTTGTATTCCAGACTTACTCTTGTGTTACTTTTCAATAAATTTACTGTGAGGTTTCTCAGAGTTGGAGAAAGAAGCATTGCAAAGTGTGAAAGGAAGAGGTAGTCATGGGCAGGGGTGCGAGTAGTTATATATTTCAGGTACTTTGGTAACATGCCTCATTAGTTCAAATTAGGATGCAGTTAGGAGCCAGCCAGGAGAAATGCAATAGGGCAATTCTGTTTCAGTGGATAACACCAGTCCATTTCTCGTATTATTTGTTGCAAAAATAAGGGAAAACTCTCAGCACTAATTGGAAGATAGAATCAGGTGGAAGACCATTCAGCCCCTTGTGCCTATTCTGCCGTTTGGTTTGATTCAGGATGTTCTGTGACATGATTCTATCCAGCTGCCTTGATCCCATAAGCCTTAGTACTCTTATTAGCAAGTCTCTCAATTCCCTGATAAAGCAAAGCTATCACAAGAAAATCAACCTCCCATGAGCCAGTGCTCCAGAATCTTATGTCAAAGTCTCCTTGTGCTGGGGAGCAGATTCAGGCATTTCCCAACTCACTGGGCACCCTTCAGAGAGTAGAGAAGGGGGAATGATATCCTGAGTGTTCCTTTTAAAACTGTCAAATCTTCCAGGCCCTGACTGCACATGGCCAGCTCCTTCAGCAGTGTGAATCAGCAGACTGCTGTACCATCTCACCAACATTCAGTCATGCTGGTTAAAATGGGGAAGTGAGAATTCCCAGAATCAAGGTGCTGAGCCACCCTCCAAGTTTTGCTTCCTCGAATTTCCGTGAATGCTTGAATTCTGGAATCCACTTTGGACAGTCAGCCTGTCCACGTGTCATCCTGTTTTTGATTTTTGACTGTGTAAGCTTTGCTTACATTGACCTTCTCATTGATTAGAAATATGGTGAACTAACTTACTATTTACATCAAATTCATGTTCTGTTTAGGATGAGAAGGGTGTGGGAACTACTAAATGGTGAAAAGTATGAGTTAGAGGGAAGCAGGGATGTGGAAGGATAGGGATGGGTTAGGGAGAGTTCCACCAACAATGTGGTATGATTGCTGCTTGTTTAATGATCCTGGTGGATCACATGAGAGAGAACATTCCTGCTGGAATTGTACTCACCAGTAGTGAAAGGTGATAATCTCTACATGAACACTATCAAGACTGTGACACTCCTCGCATTTGAATTTAAGAGTAATTCACTCTGGATGCTATGACATAAAGTTGCTCAAATAAAGCATGTTATCCTGAGGTTACAATCCTTATAGGATCCTCCTGAAATTTTCAGGCATTATGAAACAACAAGAAACCATTAGAAGTTTGGTTAAAGAGGTAGATTTTAAGGAGTGTCATGAAGGAGGGAGAGAAAGAGTTAAAGATTTAAGGAGGGATTTCCAGAGCTTGGGATCAAGTTAGCTGATGGCGCACCATCACTGTTGGAATGATCAAAATCAGGAATGCTCAAAAGGCCAGATTTCAGTGAATGCAGGTATCAATGATGCACTCATGAGGGCAGGAGAATTGCTGGGCTATAGGTGACAGGTAGAGTTGGGTGAGATTATTCAGGGATTAACAAACGAGGTTGAACACTTTAAAAGTAGACTGTTACTTAACTGAGAGCCAGCGTAGGTGAGACAGCACAGGGACACTGGTTGAACAGGGCTTGTTATGAATTAAGAAGTTGGTAGCACCGTTTTGAATAACCTCAAATTTATGGAGAGACCACCTGGAGTGATTTGGAATGGTCAGGTCTAGAGGTAGTGAAGGAATAAATGAGGATTTCAGCAACACATGAACTGAGACATTTGTGAAATAAAAAGTGATGTTATAAAACATACAGTCTCAGTGATGACAATAGTATGTAGTTCGAAGCTCATCTTGTGATGGTCAACTAAATACTAAAGCTGCAAAGAGACAGGATTAATCTCAGACTGTTGTCAGGAGAGGAGTGCGACAGAGACAGAAAACAATGACTTTCAATATTTAATTGGAGGACATTGCTGCTCATCCAGTATTGGATGTCTGACAAGCAATCTGATAATTCATCAACTGTGGAGGAGGTGAGGGAGGTGCTGGTGAGGTGGAGCTGTGGAAATGTGAAAGTAGCACTGCTTTTAGATGATGTAATGGAGGGATAACATGCAGATGAGAAACAGGAGGGGGTCAATGATACATCCTGAGGAGACACCAGAGTTAACAGTGCAGAAACAGGAAGAGAATCCATTGATGGAAATTCTCGGTTATGATTAGAAAGATAAGAATGGAACCAGGTGAGTGCAGTCTAACCTGGCTGGATAACAGTTGGTAGGCAGTGGAGGAGGATGGTCTGTTCATCAAAGGCTGCAGACAGGTTGAGAAAAACGAAGGATTATAATTTAATGTGGTCACAGTCACATAGGAGAGGCTTCGGGCCTGTGGCAGGGGTGGAACTATGATTGAACAAATTCAGACGCAGAGTTCTAGGAAAAATAGGCCTGCATCTGGGAGGCAACAACACATTGACAAACACATTTTTCTTATTAGACTTTAATTACTTTGATCCAAAGAAAACATTCATTTCCAAACCAAATGTAACCTTTACAACTGCAATCCAGGTGTAAAGTTACCCATAAAACAACTGTCTCAGAAGTTACAAATAAGTCAAAATTTCAAACAAATGTTTGTTCTTCTCGGTGTAGAATGTTGGTTTGATCTAAAGTGATCTCTGGTGATTAGAGTCATATTCCAGTTCCACATGCAAACATTTACAATTACTATGAAATATGCTGGCAAATCCCAGATATAGTTAACTGCAACTTCCCACCAACCTGTGTCCCTTCCACTCTCTGTTTCACTAAATAAATTCAATGGAAGTTGGTTTGGAAAAGTCTTGTACAATTAGACTTTAATAATGATACCAAACAATCCTGTATAATATACTGTTATGATCCTAGCTGATGGTATTACTGGTCCAATCAGATCCCAGCCTGAAATCTGACTTAATAGATCATATATGCTTCTTCAAAATTTAGCAAAGCGGTCTTTCACCAAAACACAAGTATGCAATGCTGCAGGTCTGGTTAAAATAATAAAACAGAAATTTATTAGGCAAAAGAAAAGACAAAATAGAATAAAAAACAAGCTACCATCATATAACACAGTGCTAAAGTACTTCCAAAACACAGTAAAAATACAATATTCAATCTATCCCAACAACATCTGACTACAGCACTCAAACACCAGAGAGAACTTCCTTCCCTGTCCCATTTATAGGCTTGACTTAACTGTTGCTTTCAATTCACAGTCTTGAGAATTTGATAGCCTCTTCCTTGAGTATTCACACAACTGAGATTAGACTTTCTCAGCTTCAAATAACCTCTTTTAGGGTTATTTTTGGTCTGGGCTTCAACTAAAACCCTTGTACAGAGGTAACCTATTTCCTAATTATTCCAAACTAACTCCTTTCTCTAGGACATACTGTTTTATACATGTAACTTCAACTAGGATTTCTGTGAACTGACCAAAATCTTTCCAAGCTATGTGTTTTTTTTCCTTAAACAAAGAGAATCAATTCTGTGCCCTTTTAAATGAAAGCAATTTAATGCTCCTCAATGCTTGCTCTTAAAACTCTTCCATTGCTAACAAATTTTCATTAATATCCACTGGAAGAACTCTCTCTCATGCTGAAATAAAGCATGGCTGAAGAAAAAGTTAAACATTAAACCCCTTTCAAAGCTCTCAAATAAGTGACATTTAAATATATATATATAAAACACCTTTCATTATGATATGCAAATAGAAATCCTGATTGATTAATCAGATACAGTGAGAATATTTGTTTCACAAATACAAAGAAAATCAGAAAGAAAGCCTTAAGCTTTGCCCCTGAATTGTAGTTGATTGTAACTAAATGCAATGGAAATCATCAATGGGTTAAGGTCACAAGTGTCGATTTCTCCTTTTTGGTTTTGGATGTGCAAAAGGACTATAAAAATCATCAATAAAATCCCAAAAGAAAAATGGAGAGTTGGTCCTGTCAAAAAAATAT